GCATGAGCCCCTCTCCCCCTCCCCCCACTGTCCCAGACCACCCATGGCTGCCCAGCCCAGCCCAGCTCCGGCCCTCTAAGAAAAAAAAATGAGGAAAACCCCCAGACTCACTGCTCCTGCTGGTGGGGGGCAATCCTGCTGGGCAGGGCAGGGGGCTGGGCAGGGCAGCCATGGGGAGGGCTGGGAGAGCAAGGGGGGTTGAGGGGCTCGTGGCAGAGCCCCCCATGCAGCATGGGGCAGTGGGGGGCAGCAGGGATCGCCCGCTGCCCGGCACCACCCCCTCTAGCTCCCCCTCCTCCGCCCCTCCTTACAAGCTCGGAGTCCAGCTGCAGCCACCAGGGACTGTCCAAATCTATTCGAAGCTCTCCGAATCTTTTCTGAAGATTCAGAGAGCTTTGAATCTATTCGGACCTTTTAATTGTCCCTTGATTCAATTCGGATTTGGAGATTCGGCCACCGAATCGGGCTGAATCTCCTCCAAATAGAATCACCACCCAAAGCTTCACACAGCCCTACCAAACAGCAGTGAAGACTTTTAGGATATCTAAGCAGATGGTAGAGGTCTGGCTGAGATCTTTGCTCTAGGAGCTTCTAAAGGAGAATCTGATACAAAGATACGTGAGAAAACATTTAAATTGCAAGTGATAGATCTAATTGTTTGGCTCTTGGGCTGCACAGAACTAAAGATGTAAGTGCTGTTTCAGTGAAACGTGGGTGATTTTGAATGAAAAAGCTGGAAACCAAAGTAAAAAGCATAGCCTACAGCTGTGAGTATTTAAAATGCCAGGGAGATAACTGACATCGTATATTGGGATGAGGGAACAGCTGAAAAGACTGTAAGATTCTGACTTGATCTGCCTTCGATAGAGAATCTGGCTTGTTAGACACCTAGAGATACCCCTAATTATGCTGCTATTGGTGCAGTCCCTGGCTTGCAGAAGTGGTATGTGTTTGTGGATAACCTTTGCTAATGTGAGTAGCCCCACTGATATCAAGGGAGTTGTAGTGATCACCAGGTTCAATAAAAACCATCAGACTGACAAAGTATCAGACTCTCTGAGGCATGTGAAGATCTTGCTTTTGATGATCTGGCTCTCCTTCTGTTCTCAGTGGTAAGGTAGGTTGACAATAGTCCATGTATAGAATTGAAGGCTTGTGATAATGCCTTGATTCTATGGCCAGGGACAGAAGTTACATATAAACCAGTGTAAGTGATCAGAAGCAGCTCAGATCTGTAACACAACAGAAGTTCAGTGCACGTAAACTACTTTCAAAATGACTGAAACCGATTTAAGATACACTTGGATAGATGTAGTAACAGACTTAACTGATTTAGGTTAAATCGGTTTATTGAACTTCTGTCCCAGTTCCCCTCCAGAGTCAAGTTAACTTGCAGTCCTCCAGCATCCCAGGATGCTTTGAACCTCCCCCATAACCTCCCCTTCTCACTGTCTCCCCGAAGTGGACAGGCTAGCTGTGGCCCAAGCTGTCTGCTCCAACCAAGCAGAGAGGCATGCTCTAGCACCCTCCCCCAGCTTCTGGCCTGGAGCACTGCAGGTATGTGGCTGCATTTCCAGAATCAAAAGCAAATGTTTGTTCACTTGCTTATTGGTTCAGTCTATGCAGCTTAGACTAACCTGTGAAAACGGAGTCAGTTCAGCCTCGGGCTTTTTGACTGTCTGTACTTAGCCTATATGACTAACTTTGCATTTGTGGTAAAGGAACATGCTAACCCTGTAGGAAAGACTGTGGATTAAGGTGGCCATGTGGGAGCATGTGTTGGTACTTTTAAGTTTTATTCCAGTTGTGGGTCAAGTGAACTTACATAAGATTGGTCATTGTAACGCACCTAGGAATAGCGACTACTACAGCTGATACTTCCTTCACTTAGTTTTGGCAGCTGTGCTTCTGTACAAAGTTCTTTAGCTATAGGCTACAGGGGCTGATTTCTTCTTTCTGAATGATAGTATTTGTATTTCTCTTTAGGACCATTTCTTCCCATAAGAAAACAGTTGCTACTTATGTTCTATAACAGTTGGTTTAAACAACAGTTAACAATTCTGTAACAATTGGCTTAAAGATAGAAAGCAAAGAGTAAGTATAAATGGTCAGTTTTCAAGATAGTAAGTTAGGAATATAGCTTCTGAATGAGAACTTCCTATACCTTAAATGTGGGAGGCTGCAAGTGAGAAAGGAACAATGGAAAAAAACTCTGGTCATAACAGGTTATTTCCCCCTTTCAGCATCAACTGTCTGCCACTGTGTGATTGGGCAACATAGACCTATGGTCTGACCCAGTAAATGGCAATGCTTATGTTTTGTTATGATTTCATCCTAAGAAAACTGTCCACATTTGGGCCATGACAGCCAACAGGATCATCAAGAGGCATGGATTTTGTGTCTTGTACTGCAAACACACTGTTAACTAGATTGAGTTTCTCACAAGCTGCCAGAAATGGTGTCACCTTCCTAGGTTCTCTACTTTTGCATTGCATACTAGCAATGCACCTCCCTTTCACTGGCAACATTCAGTCTTTCTTATTGGTTTTGCTCAATTCCACCATATCTACAAAAAGACTTCACCTCCACTATATGCTTAACTGTATGTACTTGAGGTTTTTGTGCTTGGGATCTGTAACACTTGGCAAAATGGTTCCTCTTACCAGTTATAACAAAACTTTCCAAATGAAGAACAGTGTTTGGGGCCATGCTGCCTTCGACACTTACTGCACACCTGGAGGAGGTGTTAGGTGAGCAATTACCTTAAATGTGTCAGTCGCTGGCTAACTGCAGTGTGACCCACAACATGACGACAGTTTGGTGCCTGTTATTGACCTGCCTTCAAAAAAACAACACTAGTTCCATTAATTATCCACTTTGCCTAAACTGGTATGTAGTAGTACACCACCCTCACATGAGGCAGGGAGGGCAGAGGGGGACATAGCAGAGCAATCCTTAAATGCAGCCATGCAGTCTGAGTGCAAACACAAACTGCAATTCTGTGGGGTTCGGGGGAAGGGGACCACAGTTCAACCACCCACTGGCCATTGAGGTTCCAGAGAGCTTGAGCTCCTCACCCACCACCTCCCTGTAGCCTGACTTCTCCTTACCCAGCCAGTACATCTGGCTGCCACTTAGCATCCCTGGGAGGAAGGTTTGACCTGTCATGGGCTGGGTCTTTTGGAGCACTTGGCCCCTATTGGGAGAGAACTTGCTGAGATGCTGAACATGGGAGGAGGACGGGAAACTCCAGGCCTTCATTGTCTGAGCCTGGGTCTGTTTGGCAGGATGGCCAGTGAGCCCATGTGGCTCAGCAGGATGGCCTGGGAGTCTATAATCTGGCTTATCACCTAAATTGCTCTGCTGATATGTGGCTGCACAACTTCAGCCTCAGTCGAGAAGTCCTCATCATTCTCCTGGGTGATGCAGGCCTCTATGTCCTCTGCAGTTTTGTGGCTATGACTGTGCTTAACTGTGAAGATTCAAGACAGTTTCTCATGGGGAGCATACATGATCCTGCATGCACCCAACATGTGGTTGTTATCCTATGTCCTCATGAATTGCTGCCTCAGTACCTTGCTTTGGACCATCCCTGGGTCCAGTCACAGTCCTTGGGCTGCTGCTTCCTTTGCAATTCACCTTGTTTTTTTTGGCTCTACCAGAGCACCCACTGGTTTTCAATCTCACCCCAGATAGTGATGAGATCCACTACCCCCTCCCTGTTCCAGGTGTTGCCATACTTTTTCATTCACTGTCAGGGCAGCTAGGATCTGGAACCAACTTCTAAGAGAAGCGGTGCTGGCTCCTACCCTGGGGACCTTTAAGAGAAGGCTGGATGAACACCTCGCCAGGGTCGTTTGACCCCAGTACTCTTTCCTGCCATGCCAGTGGGTCGGACTTGATTATCTGCTCAGGTCCCTTCCAACCCTACCAACTATGAAACTATGATGCTGCTCTCAGATCACAGGCCCATGGTGGAGGGAGGCTGGATGGCGGTGTGGGGGTATGGAGGTCCAAACTTGCCTTGGATGGATCTGATGACCTTCCTGACAGCCAGACAGTTAAGTGGATGGAAGTCCTTGTTGATTGGGGTGTTTCAGGTTAGTTCAGTGGATGGAGACTCCAAAGCTGATCTCAGGTGGACAATGAGCATGAAATGGCTAAGTCACCATGCAGGGCATATAATAGATAGGGGTCCGCCAGGGTCCTGACACCACTGGGTAGTAGAGTTCTGCAATCAGGGCTAGCGTGGCTGCACATAGTTCAAAGGGGACAAAGAATGGGGCTGAAACAGTGCATTGTTGTATGCTTGAACTGATTGGCCTGTTTGTCCTGCAGCAGTATGGGGCAACCACTCAGACATCCTTTGCAGTAGTGTCTCCTAATCCACAAATCTATTTGGGGTTTTATTCTTTGACAAGCAACAGCATCTGACCATTTGTGCTTTGTCCCCAAACAAAACATTTTCTCACACAACACGGATAATGTCTGTTCATAGCCTGTCTTTCAGTTTCTAACTACTTCAGTTTGGGTCTCACATTCTTTCAAGTTCTTTCTCATTTGCCATTTTTGACACCACGTAGTGATCATTTGGTTTATTAAAAGTAGTCAGGTGTGAAGAGATCTAAACAATTGTGGAGTACTAGGGGAGAAAAAAGCAACATGATTTTATACACGGTTTTTGGATTTTTTGTTTGAGGAGATGGGTGCTTTGATGGTAAGCACAACTGCTATTGTGGAGAGAGAGTATGCAAGATTTTAATAAAGTTTCATTGTCCCTAGAGCAATGAAACTTGTTTTGCCAACAACCATCTATGCTGACCAATTAATACTAACAAAAGCTCTCAAAAATGGGTAAAATAAAGTGAGTTGCTATTCTCTGGCAGAGGTGGACGTTCCACTCCATGTGAAGAATATACATTAAATTCAGGATTTGGTTTGTTTGGTTTTTATACTTTGCCTCTATCAGTCCTTTCATAAGGTATTATTTGCCTCTATAGGATGGATGACATTCAGCTTTGTAAAGAAATCAGTCGGCTGAAAAAGGAGCTTCAGAAACTCATTGCACTGCCAGGTAAGGCCCAAGTATGTTGCAAACCTTTTGGACCATGTTCCAAATCCTTTTGAACTTAATGGTTCAGACCACCAATTACTTTTAGAGGTTTTTGACTGTGTCCCTTGTTTCTAGATGTGCTAATACTAAGTGATGAGCTGAACAACAAAAGTTCAGTTGAGCAACCAGCAGCTTGGATCTTGCTCAAATCATGATGTACTAGAAATCTCAGCAAAAACAGTGATTTTCTGGGTTTCCCAATGAACTTCTAATGGGAATTTTTGTTTAGAAAATAATCCAAATATGTTGGTGCATGCCTAGGGCTCGAAATTTCACCAGATCAGAATATGTTTACTACAGAAAGGCATAGCAAGGACAAGATAAAATCTGGAACTATCAAAGGTGAAAACTAGGACAAAGTTGCAAAATTTAACAGTGGCTGCGTCCACACTAAAGTTTTTAACTCAAGTTAGTTGACTGCTGCTTAAATGAGCCAACATCCAAGATATTTATATGGCTTCCACTATCACAGTGCCTGAGTACCTGGAATTAACTTAAAGTATTTATCTTCACAACACTGCTGAGAGGTAGGGAAATCAGCTCTATTATAGGGATGAAGAACTGAGGCACAGAGAGACTGCTGGGTATGTCTGTACCACTGACTACAGTGTAGAAATATCTGAGCTAGCTTGGATGCTGGTAGCCATCGATGCAGAATAATCTGTAACTTGCCCAAAGTAACACAAAGTCTGTGGTGGAGCAGCAACCCAATCAGAGGCCTCACAAGTCATAAGCTAGTGCCATAACCACAAAACCATCTTTCATAAGCAGAGACGTGTTGAATTGAAGACTCCACAAATGTTCATTCCAGGCATAAATGTGCATAGTTTACCCTTGGATCTAAAGTTGGATATGACTGACCTGTGCTCACCCAACAATAAGATGCAATAGGACAACCTTCTGTGTCCTGAGCATATGTCTAACACTGTAAAATGATAAGAAGTCCTTCCTATTTGGATCCTAATAGCAACACCTCAGATCTCGCTATATAAAAGGCTTTAAACTAAAAATCAATACCCACTTTAAATGTTGCTGAGATTCAACCTACAAGTTAGGTCCACACCACTGCATAGTTATATAGCCCAAGGAGGACAGGTAATGGGAATCCAGTCTGTGCTGGATCAATTTTGAAACTGGTTGCTTGAACACTTGAGATTGTCTTACAAACTGCAGCTGCATATAGCAAAATTCAATCTTTAAATTATCTAGCCCTCCATTTATCTTTAATACTAGCATCATGTTCATATTATTCACACGGTACTGCCTATTTTATATGCCATATGTTTTAAGGGAGATTTAACAGATATCTAGACTTTATATCAGCCTATTGCATAGAGGTAAGCGATGACAGAAAGTGCTCAGGATTCTGATGGCAACGACACCCCATGGAGTTCACGTAAAGATTTAGCCAGAGAATTTCAAAGCATTTTGGAGGAGATGCTTGTCCCTGATCCTTCTTAATTCGGATAGGAACTAGGCATTCAGGTCCCTTTGGCAGTTTGGAAAGCTAAGGATCCCGTTTGGAAAGTTCAGTAAGGTTCCATGATCCGTGTTATGCAGGAAATCAGGCTAGATGATTCAAAAGGAGCATTATGGCTTTAATATTTATGAATCTACTAAGTGAAAGGTAATTCCCAAGTCAGAGGCACTTTCAAAATATCCACCCAAATCTCTGCTTAGCCAGCTAAGTAGCCTGATTTTTAAAACTGCAGATTTCTAAAAGCAACCCCCACTTGGGGGTATTTGGGAAATGTTGCCACTTCAGTGCCCAAATACAGATATAAAAACTCTCTTCCTCCCCTTGTTTCATACAAGACATTGTCTGGGAAGTCAGCTTAGCCTGCAGCACAGTTAAAATCGTGTGCTTTGATACTTTTTCTAGCATTAGGACAGAGTGTGTTGTGTTCTTCCTGCTACAGAAACAGAGAAGTCTAACGAGGAGAAGCAGAAGGAGGAAGAGCTGGTACAGCAGATACACAAGCTGGTGGAAACGCGGGATTTCCTGGTGGACGACGTGGAATTTGAAAGACTGAGGTAGCTGAAGGAACCAGCTCAAGTGTGCTTGGAGCCTGCTGTAGAAAGAGTATTGCAAAGGCTGGCAGAAGGCCAGTTTGTCAGGCTCCCAGCAGGTTTGTTAGCATTGGTACCTGATGCACAGATGGGTCACTTTGGCAAAAATAGGTGTAAAAATAGCTCAACAGCTGGGTTGGTGTGCAGGGTTGGATTATGGCAATTTATTATGCGAGGCACATTTTAACACTGGGTTCATCAAGTCACTGCCTGCACAGCCTGGCCCCACAATACAGGCCTGTCCAACCCAATATAGCAGCATACTTATGCCAGTCTGGGCTCGTTTACATGAGACACTAAATGCGCAGTAGACTAATTCTGCTGCGCATTAGCACATCATGGCAAAAGCTGTGCTAATGCAGTAATGCACAGTAGAATTAGTCTACTGTGCATTAGTGTCACAAAAAGACCATGCGCTGGCACTATAGCACAGTAGTGCCAGTTACTGCACACTGAGTTAGTACCTGTGATTATAGGTGCTAAACTTATTGTGCAGTAACAATGGCGCATTAATACATGTGTAGATGCACCCTCTGTCTAGAGCATGTATAGTGCCAGTCACTGTAGTATCTAAGCTAAATTGCTACCAAAGGCAAGCATCACAATCTTATCTGACATGGACATAGCTGCTGATGCTACCCTAAAGAACTAACCTTTGCTTGGAAAACTATCCCAGGAGTGTTGTGTGGTTGCATGTTGTTCCCTTGTCCTCAGCTTCATTCTTCAGCTTCAGTAACTACACAGAGGCTTCCATACATCAGAGGAGTTTGCATTCAGCTATTAAACACTCAGGCTCATATCTGCCCATAGGATGTAGACAGCTGGCTCTTTGTGGGAACTATCCAATAAGTGTCCCCCGCTCTCCCCCTATAAATCCAGTAACTGCGTTTTAGGGGTAGCCCACCTGCCCCTCCCTCCAAATGCCTCTTTAGATCTCCTTGCCATTAAGAGTTAAAAAGCCTTAAAACTGACGTGTGACAACATGGAAGGGATTGGGTAAGTTGGGATGCCTGGCTCCTGCGTGTACCATTCCCGCTGCACTCTGGATCACTGCCATCCAAATACTAATTAGTTTTCAGTCTCTTGTGAAATCTGACAAGATAGCAGTTTGTAGTGTGGGGCCAAGGTGGTACTGGGACCTTGCTGCAATGAGTCTGTAAAGCAGAGGGAAAGATTCATAGATTCATAGACGTTTGGGTAGGAAGGGACCTTAGGAGATCATTGAGTCCGACCCCCTACCCTGGGCAGGAAAGAGCGCTGGGGTCAGATGACCCCAGCCAGGTACCTGTCAAGCCTCTCAAAGACCCCCAAGGTAAGGGAGAGCACCACCTCTCTTGGAAACCCATCCTGATGTTGGCAACCCTTACCGTAAAGAAGTTCTTCCTGATGTCTAACCTAAATCTGCTCTCCGTAAGTTTGTGGCCATTGTTCCTAGTTACTCCAAGGGGTGCCCTGGTAAACAGAGTATCTCCTATTCCTTGCTGCTCCCCCTGATGAATTTGTAGGAGATCACAAGATCACCTCTCAGCCTTCTCTTGTGTAGGCTGAAGAGATCCAGGGCCCTCAATCTCTCCTGATAGGGCTTTGCCTGCACACCCCTAACCATACAAGTGGCCCTCCTCTGGACCCTCTCGAGGTTGTCCACATCCCTCTTGAAGTGCGGCACCCAAAACTGGATGCAGTACTCCAACTGCAGCTTGACCAATGCCACATAAAGGGAAAGTATCACCTCCTTGGACCTGTTCGTCATCCACCTGCTAATGCATGATAAAGTGTGGTTAGCTTTAGTGATCACTTTGTCACACTGATGACTCACATTCATCTTGGAATCAACAGTGACTCCAAGATCCCTTTCTGCTGCTGAGAAAGTCCTCCCCCATCCTGTAAGCTGGTGGTTCCTCCTCCCTAGGTGCAGCACCTTGCATTTGTCCTTATTGAACTGCATCCTGTTCTGTTCCACCCACTTTTCCAACCTGTCCAGATCCACCTGGATTCACTCCCTACCCTCTGGTGTGTTAACTGTACTCCATAATTTGGTATCATCTTCAAATTTGGACAGAGAGCTTTCCACGCCCTCATCCAAGTCACTGATGAAGACATTGAACAGCCCCGATCCAAGGACCAAGCCTTGTGGGACTCCACTGCCCACATCTTTCCAGGTCGATACCGACCCGTCCACCACCACTCTCTGAGTGTGACCCCTAAGCCAATTTGTCACCCACCTGACCGTGTCATCATCTACATCACAGTCGTTCAGTTTATCTATGAGAATATGATGAGATACTGAATCAAAGGTCTTCTTAAAATCCAAGTAGATGGCATCCACCTCAATTCCTGTGTCTAAGCATTTTGTGACCTTGTCATAAAAAGAAACAAGGTTAGTCAGGCAGGATCTGCCTACTATGAATCTATGCTGGTTGCCCTTTAGCATTGCTTTTCCTGCTGGACTCCCACAAATGTGATCCTTAATAATTTTTTCAAAGATTTTCCTGAGGATAGAGGTGAGACTATCTAGTTTATAGTTATCTAATCCTTCTTCCTCCCCTTCTTGAAAATAGGGACCACATTGGCCCTTTTCCAGTCTTCTGGGACCTGACCTGAGCACCAAGAGTGCTCAAACAGCTGTGCCAATGGCTCTGCTATTACACTGGCTGACTTGAACACATCCAGCCCCTCCAAGTATCTCTTCACTAAGTCAGTGCTAACAGTTGGTGGGTTGGTTTCCCCTTTATGCCTGTCTATGATCCCACTGGGAGATTTGTCCTGATCTGAGTTCAGGAATACAGAGGGAAAAAACCTCATTGAAGAGCTCAGCTTTGCCCCCCCTCCCCCCATCTGTCACTAATTGCCCTAGTTTGTGTTGTAGGGGTCTATGCTACCCTGCACCTTCTTTTTGCTCCCTATGTACCTGAAGAAGGACATTTTGGTGTCTTTCATTTTTGTTGCCAGCCTAAGTTCCATTTCTGCTTTGGCCTTTCTGACTGCCTCCTTGTAAGGGTGTACCAAGTTGGTATACTCCACCTTGGTAGCTACCCCCTGCTTCCACAGCCTGTATGCTTCTTTTTTTGCCCCTAGGCTTTCTTGGACTTCGCTGTTCAGCCAAGAGGGTTTCTTGGCCCCTTTGCCCCCTTTCTTGCACAACAGGATTGTCTCCTTCACCACCCTTCCTGGACTCATATTTCACCAATGCTCTTGTTCTTCAGTGCCTCACTACCTAATCTCCTAAGCACACTGAAGTTAGCCGTTCTGAAGTCTAGCACTTCTGCCCTACTGGTTATCTTTCCCACCCTACGTCACACAGTGAATTCAATCAAGTGATGGTCACTGTCCCCTAGGTTACCTTGTGTCAGTAGATCCCCCACCAAATCATCCCCTGCAGCTCGGACCAAGTCCAGCAAGGCGTTTCCCCTAGTGGGACTGTATGCCTCCTGTGTAAGGTGAAGGTCCTGTATGCAGGTTAAGAACCTACATGAATGGCTGGATCTAGCTGACTGCTGCTCCCAGCAGATGCCCAGGTAGTTTAGGTCACCCATGACAACAATGTCCCTTGACCACACGGCCTCTGAGAGCTGTCTGGAGAACTCCAGGTCCAACTCCTCCTCCTGGTGTAGTGGCCTGTAGTAGACCCCATTACCAAGTCCCTTTCCCCCTGATTCCCTTGCATTCTGACCCACAATACCTCTATTTGCCCTTCCTCTGATCCCATTTTGATTATGGAAGATGTATATTGCTCCTTCACATAGAGAGCAACACCTCCCCCTTTTCTGCCTACTCTATCTCATCTGTACAGCCTATAGCCCTCAATGCTTACCGCCCGATCATGAGTGAGGTCCTACTAAGTTTCAGTTAGCCCAACTAAATCAAAGTTCTTGTTTGCAAGCAGGAGTGTGCATTCCTCCTGCTTGTCCCCCATGCTCCTAGCATTAGTGTAGAGACATTTGAGCGCCCCCCCCCATAGGTATCCTTGGTGTCTCCCTGTCCTGATACCTATCAGGCCCCTTAGTACTTATGGGGGCTTTTCCAGCACATGGCTCGTGGTTTGTTGATGATAGGTTCTCACTGTTGTCTGCATCTGTATCCCCCAACAGACCTGGTTTAAAGCCCTAATGAAAGTAGGTTCTACTGAGCTTTGAACTCAGACCACTGGATTCAAAGTCCAGAGTGCTAACCATTACACCATAGAACCAGGTGTTTGCTTTTATTGCAGGGGGTGTATGTTCTCCTTGTTTTATTATTTGTATTGCTGTAGCATCTAGAGACCCTAACCAAAATCAGACCCCAGTTGTTAGGTGCTGTACAAGCAGTTAGATGGGCCCTGCCCCAGAAAGTTTACAATCTAACTGGACAAAGACAAAACAGGAAGGGAA